TCAAAATTTATATGAATCTAATAAAAACTCAATTTTCAAAAAAATGTAAAAATGGGCTGTTTCTATTGTCCGCACCCTATATGTACATCGATTTGGTCAGTGAACTTTATGCAGAATCTACTGTAGTTCAATAATGCTAGCTGAGTTTTTCAATGTGCCAGTACGTGTGAAATTTACATGAAATTCAATTACATTACATAATTTAAATTTTGTCACCACATAATTTTGATTTTGTCACCACAGAAAATCACTGGCCCTGCTTGTTTGGGTGGGGACAAGGAAAAACAAAAAACTGTGAAACAAATGTTTAAACCTCTCTTGGTGACTAATAAAAAATGTCGGGGGCCATTTTACCTATAACTATTGTCCAATAGCTTGTTTCTGAATGACCCCAACATAATTTTAATTGCTTGATTTTAACATTCTTCCAAATAAGGGGGTCGTTTAAAGCATTAAAGTACTTGAAAGCTTATCATAATAAATGTTTTTAAACAAATACAGTATATCTCTACTTACAAAAACTTTTATAAGACTTTTTTACAAACTAGACTTCAAGTATGTCTCACTGGAAAAGATCTCAACCTAGAAAAATAAAATAATAAACTTATTACTATATAAGACAGCATTTTTAAAATTTATATACTTGACTTTCATTAATATCAACCTCATTAATATTAATCTAAACAATAAAATAAATTTCTATATATTAAAACTATATTAAGATTTCCTCATCAATATCACTATCAACATGAATATAAGAGTGTAGTGATACCAATCGATGAAAATTTTTCAATCGATTAGTTGATAGATCATTTTATCCAACTAATCGATTGGCCAACTAATCGATTAGTTGAATAAATAACAAACGAAACTTGGTAAAATACACGTAAGGTAGCAACTGAAACAACCGGTTGATATTCTTATATGATCGGTTGATTTAATCGATCAATCTAATCGATTAGTCGACTAATCGATCAATCGACTAGTCGATTAATCGATTAGTTGACCAATCGATTAATCGATTAGTCGACTAATCGATTAATCGACTAAGTTGGGTATGTAAAATTCAAATCGATTAGTTGTCAACTTTACAATTAATCGATTAATTCGATTTCGATTTGTATCACTATAAGAGTGATCCAAATGGGTTGATATTAGCGAGGGTCAAGTGTAGGTCCGGTCTTGTCGGTCCCGGTCCTAATAGGACTGATCAATTAGTGATATTTGGTCGGGTCTGGTCTGGTCCTTCGGTCTTAAGAACAGTCTTTCAAATGCCGAAGTTATGGTGTTTTCAATTATTTGAATATCCTATCGCCATAGAATGATGTAATCACATCAGCTGAGATTTTGGTCCGGACCGGTCTTTGCAAGGGCCGATCCAACCTATTTGTCATGCTTTCGTCGATTATTTGCTAATTATTGAATCATTCGTGGTTGTCTATTGAAAATTTAGGCAGGAATTACTCAAAGTTTTACTAACGCTAATGCGTATGGACAGATATTTTTGATTTTGGTGGTTATTAAAAATAAATGATAATAATTCATAAAATTTGATCCAGTCATTTATGTGACGTTACGAAATTGCCGGTATTAGATATTAAAAATACAATAAATGGATTGTATGATTGGTTGATTGTCTTTTGAGTTATAAAATTGCTTATGAAACCGTCATGAAACCGCTTATGAAAACATTATAAAATAAAATATTTTGTTTGTATTTGATTGGTTAATTATATACTTGCTTATTAATATTTTGATATAGTGACACTGTGCAACATATTTTTATTATTCGGAGTGGTTATAAAATCTATTGTACCACTTAATTTTAATGATCACAATATCCCCATCAAAAATTTTCGCTCACCAATAGTGCGACTTCAGGGATTTTTTTTGTTAAACAATGAAAAATCCCTGATATTCTACAAGCACGTGATCATAAAATCATTGTGTCTTTGAAGCCTTTCACTTCTCACAAAATGAGGTGAAAAATTGATTGATAGTTTTGTTTGCCATAACCACTACATAGTTATCGGAGGACCCCGAATAATACTAACAGAGGTTACAGAGGTTATACATATTGCTGCATTATCCACTTTTCTTGAGTTTTGATTGGTTAAATAAAATTTTGACTAATTTTAACATACTGTATAACCTCTGTTGGTATTATTCGGGGTCCTGTAATCGATCTGATTTTATAAAATTTTAACTCTAGTGATTTGAAAAGTTTTTGCCATAACTTTTTACGCGGGAGACTTTAAAAAACTGTCCGATAGATTTATAGACATTATATTGTTGTATGTTATCGGCCGTTTTTTTAACAAAATCTCTTACATAAAGAGTTTTTAGGCATTGAAAAGTTTCACGTGATTGTCAATTCTGCAGGTACCAGACACGGTTTCGAATTTAACGAAGATTATAGGTGGATTATAGGTGGATTATAGGGTGTAGGTTTATATAAAATAAATTTTACCTTAAAAATTATTTATTAAGAAATCCCAATTCCACTTAAATTACTTAAATTCGTTTCCACTTACAACATATGTAATTAATTTTAGCATATATTATTAGTAAATTGGCTTGTTATAACGACATCGTTGCATCGATCGCTTTTTCGTTGGTTGTTTATTCTTTCTCATTCAGTTTTGCAAATTTTAATATCTTTAACCTTAAAATTTTAACTTTAACCTTAGAAATTTTAATATCAAATATTAATTAATTATTTTTTTTTTTAAAAAAAAAAAGAAATTCCGCCATTAATGCTATATTTACATTCCAAATGATCCACACCAATAAACGTTTGATTAAAAATGCGTATGCATGATTAAAAAAAGGTCATATAGATAAAATACCTGTCATCAAAGCTTCTGTTTGGAGATTACAAAACAGTACCGATGAGATCGTAGGGTACTTGATTGGTACACATTTAAATTAGACATTGCATTGTACCATGCGTCTCAACCATTAAAGCATACTTGAAACCATAATAAACGCCAGAACGAAAAAGTAAAAAAACATCAGAAATCCAAAGCTCTAATGTTTTTGTTTATTATCCTCGAACCTTGAATCTCTGCATAAAAGAGTCAGGGAATCCTCGCACATACATGCACATGTAAGAAAGTTGTCCAGCAAAAGTATTTTATTAAAGTTTTTTTTTATGTGCTAAATATTCATTTTATCCTAATTGGATTCGATCGTTGTTTTGTGGTGTTAATCGAGAATTAATACAAATAATATGCATTAGCATGACACAACTTAAAATGCAAACATAACCGCGAAGTAATTTTCATTATTGCATCATTACATATTGTCTGCGAAAAATGTAACTCTAAAGAATAGCAATGAAAATATGTTAATCTACTTTTTCTTCTTTCTCATAACCCTTCTGTCTTTTACCATTATCGACCGTCTTTCCTTTCATCATTAATCAAAGTAATATACATTCATTTTTAAATAAAAAAAAAATTTATAATAGCAACGCGATTGATTTTCGTATTAAATATTAAACGAAAATCAAAAATTTTAATAAAATCATTTTCCTTTTTCCTTTTTAAAGATCCCTTGATCTCTTTTGTTTCCTTTTTCCTTTTTTTTTTCTTTCCTGCTCTTGAAAACAGATCAAATATATCGAATATATAGATTTGTATATAAAAGACTAACCAATACCTTTTGATATTTGGATAGTGTATGTGCGGGCGGGGGACCCGAAAAAAAAAAACTTTTAAATCATACAACCTTGATCTTGTATTTATTTATCCATTCCTTTCATTCAAAGTTCCTCTTAATACGCGTTCTCCTTTTTCGATTATTTTCTAGATAATGTTTACATGGCTAACATAAACACTTTTGAAAACGTTACTGTACGATTTGGTAAGTTACCACAAAATTTAGTAATGGTGAATGAATCATTTAGTAATCCTGTTCTTTTTTTAGCATTACGTATTAGACCACTAACGGCTGATGAGCTGGTTACTTTACCCGCACCACTTCAAAAAAATGTTCTTTCTACAACACCATTCACTCCAAATCAAGTCACCGTTCAAGGAGAAAGAAAACAAGCGTATATGTTCGATCATGTTTTCGGACCAGAAACATCACAAAAAGAGATTTATGATCGTGCCGTAATGAATTTGGTGGATAAATTCTTGGACGGTATGAGAATATCTTGATACCGCGCAATAAAAATTTCATTTGACTATGTTCAACTAATTTAAGAGATGCGCTAAAACCATGCATATCGAAACCGATTTCAATTTCGACACTGTTTGGACTCATATTAGTCACCTGATTTTATGATTTTAATTTAATCCTCCGTAAATGCACCCTTTGGAAGCAGGTAAAACAAGTGTGCATCTGTAGAAAGTGTGCATTTATGAAAAGCATTTTATTAAGAGTTCTATGAGTGGATTGAAACCTAGCATGTATTTAAAGAAGGTATACATGGTGCATGCATTTATAGGTGAATTTATAGAGTTGAATGTATTGATTGATAAATCAATAAAATTAGCGCATCACTAATTAAATTAGTAAAGATTATTGTCATACGTATAATATAATGTGGATATCATCGATATTTGGTTAATAATCATTTTTAAACAATTTGATCTGTATCAGGTTTCAACGCGACTATCATAGCGTATGGTCATGCGTCATCAGGCAAAACGCATACACTTGGATTGTCAGGTGACGTTCCTCAATCGAACGATTCGAAGGGTATAATTCCGAGAGCAATGGCCACACTGTTCTCCTGCATAAATTCTGCTCAGTACAAAGCGCGAAAATTTGTTATGAGAATTTCATTTGTAGAAATACATGATGATGAATTATTTGATCTTCTTGGTGATAAAGGCTCTCAAGTTCTTATTCGTGAAGATTCAAATAGTCGAATACATTGGAAAAATCTAAAAGAGATTAAAGTTAATAGTGTGGAAGAAATAATGGGGTAACTGAATTTTATTTTTATTTTTTTTTGACAGGATGTTTACAAGCTTCGCTGATAACGATAATCAGTAATTTCTACACGATCACGTGATGATTAGAATACTGTTTAACATCCGTTTCGTATAAATAACATCGATATATATGTTAACGAATGTTAAAATCTTTGCAGACTTTTGTCTCGTGGTGTATTAAACCGAAAAATTTCAACTCCGGATACGAATGCTGGCACATCGCAAGGACATTTTGTTTTTACGGTGACACTTTCGCAGCAAAAGTTTGTCCCGTTAAATGGTATACCAACTAATTCTAGTCACATACCACCAACCGTTCCAAAATTTAATTTTGGAATATCAAAGTCAAGGGAAGATATAAAGACAAATAAACATCATGATGGTGAATGGATTGCTGTAACAAGTAAATTTCATTTTGTGGATTTGGCTTGGAAGAACATGGTACAATTTACGGATATGCAATTAATATTTATTCTATTTTTGTCTTAAAACCTTTTATGAACTTACCTATTAAATATTAATTATTTTATTTATTATAGAATAATAATACCTTGGTGAATTCACAAGAAAAAGAAAATAATTCGCTTAATTCGGTCATCCTTCCCCTGGGAAATGTTATTAGCTCTCAAGGAATGACATTAAAAGTACCTGATAAAGAGTATAAATATACACGAATACTCAAAGAGTATCTTGGTAATAATGCTCAATCATTAGTTATATCATGTGTCCCTCCTGCATTAAATCAAATCAAGGAAACTATAAACACCTTGGATTATGCAACTCAAGCACGAAATCTCAAGAATACTTCTGTAGTTCATCATGAAGTGGGGTGGCATAACTTAGAACACCTGCAGGATCTTGTTTTGAAACTCAGAACTGAAGTAAGGGCACTGCGTGCTTCTGCCAGGGCCAACCCTGACGCTTCTATTTCGGATTTAACTTCTTCAACCCTTGATATGCAATTGATAGAGAAACAATACACTCAGGACTCTCAAACAACGAGAGACCTTAATGGAATCATGATCAATCAAAATGATCAAAAAGATAAAGATATTGATGAACTTGAAGAAAAATTGTCCCATCTTCAACGTTCTTACGCAAAAATTTCAAAAGACTTGCCAGTTAATAACACCAATAATTCAGATGATAATTTATCAAATATTAATTTATTGGCAAAACATTTGGAATCATTAAAAGACGATGACGAATCATGTTTTATTCAACGTGTATTGCCTAGTTTCCAAAAGGCAATTAGTCCTGTTATTCAAGAATATGAAAAGTCCATCACTTCACTTGAAAATCAACTTTCACTTGTCCGTACGGCTTTAAATCATTCAGAAAACATGATGCGATTACAAGAAGATAAACTACAGGAAGCTGAAGAACTTAATAATCAAAATAGAAATTTGATTGATGACCTTAAAACCAAGATTTCTAAGTTAACTGAACGAGAAGAAACAACTGAGAGTTATATAAAAGACCTTGAAGCAAAACTTGACACTGAAGTAATGGTTAAAAAGAAAGATCAAGAAATTATTAATGAACTTAAAATTCAAATCAGTAAAATGAATGCTGAAGATAGAAATACTGAAAACCGTATCGATTCTATTGAAACACATTTGGAATATAATGAGAATCAAATTGCTGCAGCAAGCCAAACTGCAAAAGATCTTGAAAAGGCATTGTGCGAGAAAGATGAAGCATATGTCACTTTAAAAAAGAGATTAGAAAAGCAACATATTATTAATGACGAGGAAAAGAAATGGTTAATTGGAGAAATTGAGATGCGAGATCATAGAATCTCACAGTTGGAAAAGAAAGTTGATGATTTGGTCAACGAAATCGCACGTTTAAAACAATCTCATGCCGATGCTAATTGCAACTCTCACTCAGAAAATCATTCTAGATCATCATCTTTATCATCAGTTGATAATGTATCTTTTACTGATCAACCTAAATTAGGTTCAATAATGCAATTTAAAGATATTTCATCAGTTTCTCAACTCGAATCAAAACTAAGTGATCTCCAAAAGATACACCATGAGACAATGTGCGAATTGGAAGATATCAAGAATAAATACCAAACTTGCCTTAAAGAACTTAATAACCTTCATACCCAAGTTGACGAAGCAAAAAAATGTCAACAGTCATCATCAGTGACTTCACCCGATAATTCAGACGTTGCCCCAACAATAATCTCGGAAAATATAAGTGAAACCTTAGATTACTCTCCACGACATCATGTGAATTATCATAAGGCAAGATCAAAATCAGCAGAAATTCAGGGATCAAAGAAACATGATCTCACAAACGCTGCGATAATTCAAAATCTTCAAATAGAACTAAGACAATTGGAAGTTCTTCATGCTGACAAAGCACGTGGTTTAGATACTATGAAGCAAGAATTTGCTCGCCTTGAAATTAACTATCGCGAAACTCTTGAAATAGTCGAAGAACTTAGGGAAGAAATAAAGCATAGAGATGCTCGGGAACAACAAGGGCCTGTTTCTGCAGTTATATCAGAATATACTCAGACAGATGGAATTTCTTCAATGACGACCCTAAGCCAGACAAATCAGCGTGAGCTCATACAAAAACTTAAAGAAGAAATAGAACATCTCGAAGAAGAGCAAAGGATTGCACTTGAAACTCTTGCCGCACATAAAAAGAATTATAATATTGATGCGGTAACAAGGATACAAACAAGCATCGTAGAACTTAAAGCTGATATACATCGAATTCTAGAGTGTGATCAAGATTCTGACAAATCACGTGTTGATACTGTGAATCGGTTACAATCTAGATTGAAAGAACTCGAAGAACAGTTAATAAAGGAACAAGAAGTTACTGGACGATCTCAAATTAATGAGGGTGTTGAAACTCCCTTCGACGCATTACAACAAACTGAACAGGCCAATATCATCTTGATGCTTCAACAACAAGTGAGCAAACTTCAAAATGAAATTGAAGTAAAAGGCCATGTTATAGCTGTCCTAAAATCTCCATCAATTGATCAACAACATATCATCGAAAGACTTGAAGATGAATTACATTACTTGAAAGAAGTTCAACGACTCGCTGTTGAAGCAAAAAACAAGTTATCTGTGGCGTCTGAAAGGGAAGAGACTAAAATCGGAGATGAGATTGTCAGTGACTGTTTAGAACAATCTTCTGATGTGTACATAAAAACATTGGAAGAAAAAGTTGGAAGTCTTGAAGCTCAATTAGAAATGACAAAAGAAATGCAAGTTAAGTCATACATTGATTCTTCGCAAAGGGCTGTTGATATTCTTCAAGAAAAATTAACAACTCTTCAGCATAAACTTGATGCCAAGTCTGAGACTATTGAAACTTTACAATTTGAGCAAGATTTCGCATCTGTTCTTCAAGAACAACTTGACAATTTGAAAACTGATATTCAAAAAAAATCTGATGTGATTGAAACGTTGAAAAAAGATCTAATGGATAATAATCTACTTGAACAAAAGTTATTTCAAAAGGAAGCACAAACCTTAAACTTAAAAAAAAAACTTTCTCAGATGCAAAAGCAAGAAGAAAGTTTACAGAAAGAAATGTCTGAATTAAAGAGACGATTAAGTAACTTAACGAGTGGTGATGATGTAAATAAAGTTCTTCAAAATGAGTTAGATAGTTTACGAAAAGAACTTCAAGATGTCCGTGAAAGAGAATTTATCGCCCTTGAAAGGCTTCAACTCCTAAAAAGTAGGATAGATTGTGATTCTGAAGAGTCTCAATTGCAAGAACAATTGGACTATTTGCGAAGTGTAGAGTCAATGCAAAAGAACAGAATAATGGCATTAGAAAATAGAATTTTGGAGAAAGGTGAACATGTTGATGAATTTCTTTTTCAACTTCGAACTGATCTAGCTTTAGCCAAAGAGTCCAAGATTTTACATCTCAGAACAATAGAAGCTCTAGAAACAAAAATAAAAAACATTGAAGATAGAACTCTAGCTAGCACACTACAGCTTGAAATGGCAGAGATGAGGTTTAAAGAATCTCAACAATTAGAAAAAATACGTGATCTTGAATTGAATTTGAATCAACAAACCGTAAATGATATTCATCATATTAAATGCATGCTTGAGGAAATTAAAGATATTCATAGCAACGAATGGAAGCAATCGAAAGACACTGAACTTACAGAAACATCTTTAGGATTAATAAAAGGTGAATCTGATATTTCCCTTCTTAAGGACGAGATAACTACCCTAAAAAATTCAAAAGTTACTCTAAATAAAACTATTCAAGACCTAAAATTCAAGCTTTTAGATTCTCAAGAACAACTTTCAAATCTTGAAATTTTAAAAGCAGAAATAAGTAATTTGAAAAAATTAGAAAGTGAACAAAAATATACAATTGAACAATTACAGTTACAACTTTCTGAAATCAGAAAATCCAAAGAACTTTCTAAGAACGAACTGGAACTTATGAAAAAAGGAATTAATCACCAGAATGAAGTTATCGAATCACTTGAAAAAGAAGTAATAAGTCTTAGACAAGAGTTATTCACCGCAAAAGAAATAAATGTCTCATCTGCTCGCGAGTTAGAAAAATTGTCCGAGAAATTGAACTCAACTCAGAAATTATATGACAATGAACAAAAACGAGTTAAAGCTTTAGAAGTCGAAATAGAAACGTACAAAATTGCCGGTACAAACACCGATAAGAATGTAATTGCTTTACGGGAAGCGTTGGCTAATACTAAACTTGAAATGGTTGCTCAAAATGAAATTTTGGCTGAACTTGAAACCGAAATGATGGCTATAGAGAAAAAACGTGATCATCATATTGAAATCGGGGAAAAGTTGGCAGAAAAACTTCGAGAACAAGAATTTATTCATAAGGAAACTGTTGCAGGTTTTGAATCAAAACTCTCAAGCTTAGAAACAAAACTTGCGAAAGCACAAGATTCTTCTTTCCAAAGCAAGAAAATAATAACCAATCTCGAACAAACTCTTATGAAAGTTCAATCACAACTAGAAGATGCAAGGTTATCAGACGTTAAACATACACAATTCATTACAGAATTACAAGATAAATTGATCGAGACCAATACGATTTTAATGGAAAGAGAAAAACAATTGACCACACAAGATTTTCAAATTGCTGAGTTGGAAGCTGTCATACATAAAACACAAATAGAGCTTGAAAAGACTAAAGCGTCTGAACATGAAGCAGAAGAACGTGTAAAACAAGTAGAAGCAAAACTATCAGAGATCGCGTTCAGGTTGGGAAGTAGTCATTCTATTGAAGAATTCGAAGCTGCCAAAAAGATGGCTGAAGAGCAATCAATACTTGTTAAAGAGCTTGAAGAGATATTGGAACAGATTCAAAACCAAACATGTGCAGATGCCGAAATTTCAAATGCTAATATTGCCAAAATAAGTGCGGAATTGGAAGAAGCTCGGGCAGCTGAAATAGCAAAATCAGCTTTAGTTAAAGATTTGGAGGAAACGTTGAAAGCTAAAAATGATAATATTTTAAAGTTAGAACGAGCAATGATGAATTCAAAAGAAGAACTTGAAAAAATTAAAGAAACAGAATTAATACACATGGAAATGATAGCTAGTCTTGAAAATAAACTTCAGGAAGTTGAAACACAACGAGAAGAGGGAATTCTCAAGCTCAAGGAGGCCAATGAAGAAATTACTTTGATGCAGAAACAATATTTGGACTTGCAAAAACAAGTCGAAGATTCTCAGTCTCAATTAGCCATGCAACGTGAACAAAAAAATATTGATGATAAGTTGTCCAATCAATTAAAAGAAGCCCAAGGCCAAGTAAAAGAACATTTAATACAAATTGGAGTTCTTGAAGAGAAGATTCAACAACTTGAAAATGAAAAGCAACAAGAAAGTGAACTTTATGCAAATGCAACCGAAGAACTGACTCAACTTAAAAAGGAATTCGAGTCATTGGCAGAAGAATTTGCAGATGCTGCCAGTAAATTTGAAAATGCTGATGAATTATCTAAACAGCAAAAAATTCGTATTGAAAACTTGGAATCAGCCCTAAATGAAGCCAAAAAATTACAAACAGTGACACCAACTCTCCAATTAAACAGTTCGACTGAAGTAACTGAAACATCGAGATCTTATGACGTCGAACTCGCAAATTCTACGATAAATTCACTCACGTGTGCAAACGATGAACTCATGGCAAGGATTATTGAATTGGAAGCTCGTGCATCTACACTAACTAGCCAAAATAAAAACTTGCAAAATGAACTTTCATGTTTCACTGCGAAAGATATGCAAGTGTTTGAAGATATGAAGCAAAAGATTATAGAATTTGATGCTGTTAAAAAAGAGCTAAAAGAATTAGAAGAAATAAATGAAACCTTCTTTGAAGAATGTAAGGTACTTGAAGCTAAGGTTCAGTCCTTAATGAAGCAATTATGGTCTCTTACAAATGGTGGAAATGAAGTAGCTCTTCAAGTGGCAGAATTGAATGATCAAATCATTAAACGTGAAAAGGAGATTTCAGAATTGAAAATTAAATCATCAACAGGTATAGTAAAAATTGATTGCTTTGTATATATCGTGCATCATATTAAAATTTGTGTCAGACCAAAATTTAAATGTGGAGTTTTTAAAGTTAGGATTATGTTAGTTATTAGTTGAATTATAATGTTTTTAATCCGACGCAGATTTTAATTTGCACAACATATATAAGACTTTTATAATCATCAATGTAATAATGAACGTATTTTATATTTAGCAAATAAAGAAGCAAAGGAAGAAATTTCACGGCTTTTAAATGAAAATGAATCCCTCAGGAAAGCGATGCAAAAAGTAAATCCAGAACCTACAAACCGTGGCTCATTTGATACAAATAACGCAAATTTAGATGTTTATACACTTTCACACCAAGATGACATGAGATCCATGCAAAAAAATGATGTAGAGTTACAAGAATTCCATAAAAATCAAGTGCAACCGACAATTTCATCTTTATTTGCACCTCCAGATATCAAAAAGAACATTCAACATCTTTCAGACAATTTAACAAATGCACCACCGCCTACGCCACCACCAAGTCACCCATTACCACCAGTACCAATTTCATTACCACTAACTCCAAATAGTCCTATTTCACGATCTACAACTCCAAATGTAGCACGTCCTCGCACGCCACTTTCGCCGAAACATGAATACTTCCATTCAGAATCAGCAGGACCAAATAATTCAGATCTTGTGTTAGAGATTCAAAGGTTAAATAAAAGAATTGCAAAGATTGAAGGAGAAAATTTGCAAAATCAACAACTTGTTGAAACGTTAGAATCTACTCTAAATGAAAACGAGATCAATTTGAATTTGGCCAAACAAGAATTGGCAATTATCCAAAACCAAAAAATGGAGTTGGTTAAACAAGTTAAAAATTTGAAATCTCAATTGGATGAAGCAAAAGATGAAATTGAAAGCACAAAATTTGAAGTTAAAAATGAGAAGCAAGTTATGGAGAAGGTATTAGAAGAAGAGAGACAGGCCAAAGAAAAATCAGAACGGGCAAGAATTGCTTTGGAAAATCAAATGGAAAAACTCATGGCAAAACGAAGCAAATTTATGTGTTTTTAATACGATTTTATGCGAATTCGTCTGCATAAAAGCGTCTTTAGCACATTTCTTTAAATAAAATTTGTAAATTATTATTTAATAATATATATTTTGTTTTATATCTTTATATTTTTATTATAAAATTAATAAATCCATTTACTATCCAATTTGTTTAAAATCTGAGTAAAAATTAATTGTTGGAAATTTTTATAAAAGACGTGATGTATCCAAGTGACTATTCTATTGATGCTGTGTAGTGTTCCTGGTCGAAAATTTTGCAATTAATCAGTCGCAACTGACTACCCCAGGATCTCGAATAATACATGTCGCGGCTGATGCTGAAATTGGCTGATGCTGAAATTTGGGGTTCCAATTTTAAATATAGGCCCTGCTAGAATCCACATATACTCTTTAATTATAAATTCTAACCCTAAATCCTAACCTAACTATAAAAAAAAGCGGTAAAAAAACACCCCAAAATTTGTTTAAAATTTCGTATCAAAACAGGTCCAAATTTCAGCATCAGTCAATTTCAGCATCAGCCGCGACAATACATATAGAGGTTAAATTGGAATTTTGGTTAAAAAAAAAAACTTTTTTTATACATAGGATATGGTAGGGAGCCAAAGAAAGAAACCCTGATGAAATAGATTTTATAGCAGCAATTTGTATAACAAAAAAGCTAAATAAACAAACTTTTGAAATGCTATCAATATTCAGTCAAATATAAGAAGTATTAATAGAAGCCAAGTACAAGGTATCAGAAGAAATTTACAAAAAATGATAAGAAAAAGCCAAAATGATCAAACTAAGTTTAAAACTGATTATATACATGACAAATATGAGTAAAAAAAAGATAATAAAAGTAGAAAACAAGATAGAAATTATTAAAAAAATCTCAGCTACTAAATCATAATCATTGCAGGAAAAAAAAAACAACAAGAAAAGAAAAAAAAAGAAATTGCAAAAAAAAACAGACAATATAGAGAATATACAACAACAATTACAAAACCTTGAGCTAACAAGTAAAAAAAAAAAATAATTATTAAACAAGAAGAAATCTTGTTTATATCAAATAAAGAAAATAAAAAAAAAATAAGAAAGAAGTTTAAACAATATGAATACAACTACAAGAATAAATATACAGCAAAAAAAATTTATGAAGAGCTACAAATTATAGCAGAGTCAAGTATAAATAGACAAAGAATTGCAGAGAAAGAACTAATAGAGATCTTTAAGAACTTTAACAAATAGATAAAAGTAATCTTTGACTATAAAACAGAAAGAAAAAAAGCATTGAATAAAATAGGAAAAAAACTAAGACTAGTTCAAAATAATTCCAGAAAAGAAATAACTACTAAAAAAACAACAGCATTGTTAAATCACACCACTGATGTTTAACACTACTAAAATATTTGCTATGAGCTGCAATATAATATGAAGATCAGATGTAATACAAAAATTATTGTTTATTTTTTAAAAAATGGTCATAACTTAAAAATTCATCTATGAGACTATCTTTGAGGCTCTAACAAAAAAATTCCTTGCAAAATTTTGGTATAAACTATGCCTATGTTTCATCCCAAGCTTCAACCCTAACTCTAATATTAAACAAAATTTAATTTTTATTTTGATAAAAATTATTTTAATCTATATGTTACACAGATTTTCATATGACTGGTGTTGAACACCACAGGTGTGATTTAAAATTTTTAAAAAACAATGTATATAAAGGTAACAATATAAAAATTGAAAAAGTAAGAAATGAAAATATTACTAAAAAGACTACAAAAAAAGATATATACAAAAAATTAAAAAAGATGAAATAGATATAAAAAAAGATGATAATAAAGAAATCAAATATATAACTATATAGGATCTGTCTAAAAATATAAATCAACATGAAATACAGTTTGCTTGCAAGAAACTAAGTGTAATTAAAGAAATCTAAATTAAAAAAAAATTTTTTAAAATACAAACAGTAGTCAAATTTAAAAAGAAGAAAACAGAGAAATATTATAAACAATTTCAATAGAAAATAAAAAATTAGCAAGAGTTACAGAAGGAATTGAAGATATTAGAAAATGTAATGAACAAAGAAAAATAATAGCAAAATTCAAAAGAATTCTAAAAGGAATATCAAAAATACTTCTGCTCAATAAATTGAGAAGCAGAAAAGCTAAATTGGTATATATATTATACAACAGTAATAAAAAACAAAAAGCAATTACAATTATGGCTTTTAAAACTAATGTTACAGAGTTGTAGTCTTTTTAGTAAAATACAACCAAGTAACAAGATCACCTAGTATAGTGATTGACTTTTGCAAATATATATAGGACAGGATAGATGTGTAGTTATTTACTTAATTACACAGCAGGAGGCAAACAGTTTGAGATAGTAACAGTATATAGAATAACTTTATTTTATACAAGAACATAGGATAAACCTTGCCTATAGAAATTATCCTAGAGGAGAGATATCATATTTACAAGAAGAGTATAGAGAGAACAAAGTTTAAGTAAAGTATAGAAACTTGAGAATTGGCAGAAAGTGAAAAAGGCATCCTTTATATATTTTTTTGTTTAAAGAAAAGGTATACAGTATGTAAGGGATATTGGAAGATGAGTAATATTAGTAGAAAAAATTAGGAGATTGTGTTAAAGAAAGTTGGAAAATTATACTTATAGAGTTAGGGGAATATAAACATTAATCAATTTGTTTATATTTTTTATTTATTGTTTGTAAAGTAAAACTTGATAAAGAGGAACTTGGGAGATTTTGTATTCAAAACATTTAAGTTTGTATAAAGAGAACTTAAGGGACTTCATATAGAAGAACTTAAGTGAATTTTCTTGTATTACTTCTTTGTATAACCTAAAGTATTCTTTAATATAATCTTGTATTATCTGAAGTGGTCATGTAACTGCGCCACACTTCTAATAGTCAATCAAAATATTTTTATATTATTGCTATATAATATTCTATCTAAATATATATAAAACTAATATATAATAATATAATAAATATATCTAATATTTTAACTATATAAAAATATTAATATTTTGAATAATAATAACTAAAAATAACTAAATAATGTTTAATAAAATATAGTTTAAAAATTACTTTGTAATACTATATTAAAGAAGAAAAAGACCAAGTAACAACAAGAGTAGTGAAATACAATAGTTCTCTATTAGAATAGAAAATATTATATACAAAAGAAAAGACAATAGAATAAAAATAAAAGAGTCAAGATCAAGAGAAAAAAAAAACAATACAAAAAGAAAATTAAAAGAAAAGCTAACAAAAACCCCAATAGTAAGAAAGAATACAAAAAAACCTTTAGAGAAGCAACATATAAAACAAAAAAGAATAGAAATAATAGAAAAAACAAAAAAAATAAAGCAAAAATAAAGAAGAAGCAGAACAAAATCAAGTCAATTTGAAAACAATATTAGGTAAATACTAAAAAAATTAGATAACTTAAAAAAAATCTGAAAATTAAAAGAAGAGTTGCAAAATGCTCCTAACAAGCACCCTTGTTGAATAAAAAAAGGCTAAAAAGACAGAGAGCTCAGCTTAAAAAAATAGAAGGAAATATAAAGCAAAAGAAGAGTAGATAGTACAAGAAAGTATTAAGAACTATAATCTTTTATTGTTAGAATTTTATAATATTAATGGTTTAAAAATAAATAATGAAAATTAGAGAGTATATTGGACTATATATAAGAAAAAAGACATTAGCATTTTAGGTTCTGTAAAAACAAATATAGATAAAAAAAAAAGAAGTTTATAACAAAAAAAATTGAAAATATGGTAACTACTAAGTATTAGTAAAAAAAAAACAAAAAAAAAGATTCAGAAGTTAGAATAATTATAAAAAAAACATAAAAAAACATATAGCAGGATTAATAAAAGCAACTTATATTTGATAAAATTAAACTTATAGTTTAAAAGACTGTATATTATAGTGATAATAATATATGTAATGCTAGAAAATATAAAAATACAAAAAAATATATAAAAAAAAAGAAAAGCACTATTAACTCTTGTTATTATAGATATTTTAATACAAACTTTAACAAAGAAACTATAAAGAATTTGAAAGAAAAAAAGAATAAAAAGTGCAGATTACTAATATTTTAATAAAAGAAATTTTGTAGATATATTTAGTGAAGCAAGCCCAATAGACACAGTACATATGTAGAAAAAACTAAGGTTTAAGAACCAAAATTGACACAATTTAGTTAAGGATGTAACAATAATCAGGTGATTTTTTAAGGAGGGAGGGGGTAAAAAATTTAAAATTATATATAAAGACCTAATCAAAACATATAATAAGAGAGGAAAGGGGGGTAAGCTTCTGATAAAAAAAAATCAGGTGATAAATGACACTGCCCTTAGACAAAGAATAGAAATAAGATATAACTAAGAAAAAACAGAAGATATGAACTTTATAATAACAAGCAATTATAGCTTTGTCTGATATAAAATTTTAACAAGACTAGACCTGCAAAGAAGAAATATAGCAAAAATAAAAAGGTTAAACAAATAAGAATTAATATAAAAAAAGCAAAAAAAAAATAAAAGAATATATTGCAAAGCTAGAAAAAAAATAATTAAGAAAGTATAAGTACAAGAAATAAAAAAAAACAAAACATGAAAGAAAGAAAAAACCTTATAGGAAGCAAAAGAGTTATGAGAAAAATAATAGAAGACCTATGGATTATTATAGAAATAAGTATTAGAAAAGCAGTAAATGCAATATTACCAAGAAAAAAATTGCTTAAAATTAGAAAAAATATAACAGAGCTAATAAAACAAGAAAAGACATACATGTACTAAGAAAATGGTATAATAAAATCAGTAAAAACAGAAGACTAAAAAAAAATAAAAAGGTTGTAGAAGAAGTGCAAAGTCTTATAAATAGAATTTGTATATGATAAAAATATGAAATGACAAAAGTGATAGTAAAAAAGAAATAATAGAAAGCTAAAAAGAAAAACAAAATACAAGTA